GCAAAGTATAAAAGGCGTTGCAGCCCTCGAGTTATCCCTTTTGTTGTCGCTCCACAGATCAAGTCGCGCTATCGCTTCCGAGCGCGTTCTGATATTTGGTCTTCAGCCCCCACCACCTTCCGCCATAGCCCGCTCACTCTTCGCTCTTCGCTCCGTCCGCAGTTGCCACATTGTGTTCGGTTCGCTCTTCCCTCTTCGCTCTTCGCTCTTCCTCGCTCGATATCCCTCCACCATAGCTGGTTCGGTGGTCGCACATCCATATCCGCCCGACGTTGGTCGCTCGCTCAACGCACGACGAAGGTAAAATTATATAACTTGAGTTGTCCTATTCTGTGTCCGATGTCCCAACAGATTCCCAGATGCCCTGTCTCTACCTGCAGGATATAACATCGCAGCCGCGTTCTGTTGAACCCCGAATCAATTCCCGATTTTATTGTTTCGCCAGTGGACGTGTTCTGATGTCTTTTCTCCACCCTCCACCTCCGTCCGCCATAGCCGATCCTCGTTCCGCAGCTCAATTACCTTTCGCCATAGCCACGATAACGTTTATATAAAGCTGCTCGATCCCATTCGCAACTTGTACTGCGCATGGAGAACCCCGAATCAATATCTAGTTTCTACACTGAACACCAAATCAATTTCCGATTTTCGCTCACCTGTCCCTTGTGAGGTTGCCGACCTGATATCTATATATATATAGATATAGATATAGATACATATATATAGAGAGAGAGAGATATTGCTACACTGAACACCGAATCAATTCCCGATTTTCGCTCACCTGTCGCTTGTGAGGTCGCCGACCTGATATCTATATCTATATATATAGATATAGATATACATACATATATATAGAGAGAGAGATATTGCGAGTCAGTTCCCAGTTTGCGACGTACATTGTTTGAGGAGTGACAACTGCGAGTTAATTCGCAGCTTTCCCAAGGTTAGACACATATTTCATTAAAGGCAGTTCTTTATTTCCACAAATGCGAGTCAGTTCGCACTTTTTGAGCAACACTGCTGGAGGAGTTGATAACCCTTTCCGTGCAGCTTTCAGGTCTTCAGTTCCACAATTCCGAGTTAGTTCGTACTTTCCCCTTGTACTTCGGGTTACAATTGTTGTCCTGTCACCAGAACTGCGAGTTAGTTCGCACTTGTCGACACCCTTCGCACTTGTCAATAAACCACATCTTACTTGTTTCGTGCGTCTTTCAGGTCTTCAGTTCCACAATTCCGAGTTAGTTCGCACTTTCCCTTAGTACTGTGGGTTGCCATTTGTTGTCTTGTCTACAGAACTGCGAGTTAGTTTGTACTTGTCGACACCCTTCGCACTTATCGATAAACCACATCTTACTCGTTTCGAGGGCAGCGAGTCGGGTCGCAATTTTTCCGAAGAGTTGTCGTCTTCCCTCCGAACTCACTCTGCCAGCCACCCAATTGTTTTGTGTTCGTTTGCATTTCAAACACCAATATCATTCTTTGGTTTCCTTCAGCCCATAACTGCACGTCGGCTCCCCCTTGTCGATACCCATGCGGTACTTGTTGTAGACGACTTCATTCCCAAAACTCCGAGTTAGTTCGCACTTTCCTGAAGATAAATCACCTTTACCTCGATTCGACGACAGCGAGCTCGTTCGCACTCTCTCCGTGGAGCTGTTGTTTTCCTTCCGAACTCACTCTACCAGAGGACTGCTGTCTTTCCTATCCTTCACCCGATTGTTGTGACTTCGTATGCATTTCGAACACCCATCTCTTACGTCTTTTTCGTCCTCCATTTCGTTAAGTCCGAGTTAGTTCGCACTTCGCTTCTGTAGTGGTCCGAGGTTGGGCGTATTAGTCATCCAAGTTGGTTAGAGGTTGGGCATGTTAGTCAACAGGTGGGAGTACAATGGCGTCCGCAAATAACACATCCACAAGCGTTGGACCATCTTCCCCCGGGGAGAGACGACCTCTTCAGCAATCTACTCCTCAGTATATGCACGCATTGGGAGCACAATGGTTTTTGGACTTTGTTGTTCAGGGGGACCTTTTTGGGCCAGCTGTTTTCATGCGACCCACTTGCATTCCAGACGCTGGGGGAGCGGTCAACGTTCTTCCTCTCGGTACCATCGTCTCGTGCGCCAAGACTCCTGGAGGTTTGCTCAAGCTGCACACTAACGGCTTGTACGACGAGTGCAGACTGCCTCTCAAAGGTGTTAAGGGTGTGCTGGTGACCATCAAGAGTTTTGTAGGGTACGGCTCGAACATGACGTTGTGCTCTCACTTCAAAGGCCTTTATGATGACGGCAACAAGTGTTTTCCATCGCCAGAGCAATATCTCGATCTCACGATGATTGTCCCGAAAGAACGTCCGGTTCTTCCGCGAGAACATGTTTTTAGGCTGCTACCACCCCATGAGGGGTCGTCCGACTTGGCTCAAGAAACTCCAGGGACGGCAGTGGGGCACGAGAGTGCGATTCACGACGCTGGGGGTCGGGTCAAGGGGTTCGTGCGCAGCTTTCGCACGCAGGTCGGCCCGGATGCGCCTGGGAACACGTCAGACTTGCATTCTCAGGGTACAGGGACTCAACGGGTCGGTGCTCCGAAACTCCTCAAGGTCCACTGCGGCGGCGACATGTATTTGCTTCAAGATGAGACGAGAAGAGAATCCGGCAGATCAGGGCAAGATGTCGGAGGGAATGAGGCTGAAGGCATAGGCGCTGTCCGCGAAAGCTCTGGCGGGGAGCCGACTCCTTCGGAGAAGAAGCGCGAGCGACAGAGGATGGTGAGAGAGGAGGTGGCGGAGGGAACCCTCCGCATGAAGAGGATGAGAGGAAAATTGGAGGCGGTGATGGGCGGGGATGGAGGTGACGTCGGAGAACGTGCCTCGGGAAAGAGGCCGTTGAAGGAAGAGGGTGAGATGACAAGTAAGAAAGCAAGGAGGCCCGGCGGTTTGACCATCCGCGAAGGACAAGCCATGGGTGGAGGAGATTCGGCTAATCCAGGCGTTGCGGCCGCGAGAGAACCTTCAGGGAAATCGAAACGGAAAGTGGCAGTTGAAGAAGGCGATGGCCAGAAGAAACCTCGAAGGCGGAAGACTGCTGAGGCGGCGAGCGGTGGCGAACAGCCTCTCGGTGAGGAGTGCGACGAAGCGGCAGCGTTCTGGCTCGAATACGAGCGGAACGATGGCGGTGAAATCGTGGAGAAGGAGCTCCCCGTCCAGCTACTCATCGACCCCAGGAAGGTCTGCGACATCCCGCCTTGGGAAAGATATTACAACCACCGCAGTCTAAATCGCGAAACTGTGGACAGCATGAAGGATGCGATGCTGAGTCAATTCCGCGAGAAAAAGGGGAAGATCTGGACGAAAATCCCTTTGGTTCTGGCACCCATCTACAAGCCGGTGACGCGTAGGCCGGAGAAAGCAGACAGGGTTCACAAAGATGTCTTCAAGCCAGAGGACAAGGAGAAGTACTACTATTACCATGTTAACGGACAACACACCGTGGCTGCTGTGAAGGAGTTGGAGGGTGAGCCAATATTCGATTTGTGGAAGATGCACTCGTGGCCGGCGAGAGTAGTGTGGTTCTCTGACCGAGATTTCGCGGGGTATAGGCAGGTCAGTCTCAACGAGAACACGAGACACAAGATGTCTTAGCAGCGATCGCAGAAGGCCACGTTCTTGGACATGCGGGAGGCATGGGAGAATGAAGGAAGGTCGGTGGCCATTTAAGGGAACCCTTCTGGCCAGGAGGCCGAAAAACGAGCGTTCTTCAAATTCCAAAAGCTGCTTTGGGAAAGATTCCGAACGAAGCTCACTTGACGTTGGCAAAAAAAGATTTGTCGCTCGTCGACAAGGAGTATGTCGCTGTCGTTGGCAATGCATTGAGGCAATGGATGCCGCTCGTGACGGCCGGTGATGACGTTTTTCGCAAAGCCATGGAGTTCTACGCGAAATGGGCGGAGGGGAAGTTGTTGGGCGGCGAAGACAAGACACCATTGTCGAGGTCGGGCAAATACATGCCAGACAAATCTCCGGGTCTGCAAGCAATTCCGAAAATTAGCTTGAAAGGGGCGGCTGGTGAAATGAAGATGGGGTGGCTGGTCCGGGTCCCGCCTCCTCCGACCAAAAAGAAAACTCAAGCGGACGACAAGTTTTTCGTGGTCGTGAAGGAGCCAGACATGTTTTGTTAGCAGTGTCTCGCCGACATGACCCATGTCGAGAAATTATCGATCCTCGACGACATTCTCGCACTAAGGGGAGTGTTCGTGCAATCCGCGGGCGGGCATCTGAAGCGTCAGCATAAACTTGAAATTAAAGACATAGTCGCGACGAGGAAAGTGGACCGTGTGATGCTCCGTATGTTCCACTACATCTTGTTCCTTGAAACGGAGGAGGACGAACGTGTTTGGCGCTACGGGAGCCTTTTTTTCCGGACCGAGGGGTGGCTTCTGGAGGAGTTCGGGCCGTTGGGCCTCACGAAACATGGGTGGGTCGAAGTGCAAAAGCATTTCCAGGGAGCGGTGGAGTACGTGAACACTTGCAAACGTACTCTTCCGCACGAGGAGTCCCTCGACGACGTGAAGAGATTGTGGGATGATGACAGGTTCCCTAAATCTTTCGAAAAGTCTGTCCGTTCCATCTTGCGACGGACAGAAGAAGAAGTTCGAGACACGATCAGGGTCAGCGGGGATGTAAGGCACATCAAATGGCCCGGCCTCAACGGGGTGACCAACCTTATTCCTTTCGCTTTCCCGCCTTCCCAAACTCACAGTCATGTCATTGCGATCCGTGAGGTTGTGCGACATTATGTGTGCAACCTGTACGTCCTCAATTTGTGTGATCCCACACTCCTCACAGACTGGCGAGAAGATGATTTCGCCAATTTGCAAGGCGTTCTCCAAACACTTTCGCCAACGCACTGGGCACTTGTGATTTTTTTCCCCTCTCGTTGGGAGCTTAGTTTCTTGAAAGGCATGGCCAGGCTTAGCGTCCATCACGTCGGAACAGGGAAGTGGGTGCGCAATGCATAAAAGAAGGTCACTGTCCGGGAAGGCAATATGCTAGTTGAGGAGTGGGACCGCCTGTACGTGATTTTTAATGGCGAGAAGCTGGAAGACAACAAATTCGCAGTCTACCCGGCCAGTAGCCCGACAAAGGCTTCCCGTGCTCATGGTCCAAGTCCGGCCAAACACACGGTGGCGGTCCGCTCGAAAGCTGTCTGTTCGTCAGACCCATCACGACAGGCTGTGGCGTGTTTCGATGTGCCGGAAGAGGAAAGGTTCTCTCGTAGCATGTGGGAGGACGGCGGCGTGACAAGTGTTAGTGGAGCTGCTTACGGGGAGATGGAGCGGAACCCGTCCCGTCTACTTGGTCTACTCGAAAACTTTTGCAAAGTTGGGCAAACTGTTTTTTTCTTTGGGAAGGCCCATGCGTCTGTCGTGTGGGAACTCCTGCGCACCGGTCGGAACGTTGTCGCGTTGGAGAAGGACGCGAAGATGATCGATGACCTTCACAAGTTCGTGAAGACACGCGTTGCAGACACTCGCAATGCTTGCGAGTTTGTCCAGACCACCGGCGAACGAAACTGGGATCCCAAACATGACATGTATTGGAAATTGTCGGGGAACAGGACGGAGGTTTGGGACTTCCTTTTCCAACCCCGACCGCCTGGTCCGACCGACCTCGAATACAGTCGACGGAGAAACCTCGTGTTCGGTGTGCTCAATGGGTACCACGATGCACCCAGGGAGTCTGTCTCGCATTTCCTGAGAAGGCTGGAGCACGTTTACTTCACGCTGGCCGAACCGCTCACCCTCGAAAACTACTAGTCACAGTTTGACGAGGAGGACCATTTCGACGCTGAAGACAGGGAGGAGCTGAGCGACTCCGAAACCTTCGATTTCGAGTCCATGCCACTTCCTCGAGGGGTTGGAAAGGTTGGTGATGAAGAGGAAGGTGGCCCTCGGAGATATAGCACGTCCCCTGCCGGTTTGAAGCGTGTGTTTCGGGGTGAACCAGTCGACAACCAATCGTCTGATGACGGGGACGAAGAGAGAGACTATGATCACGAACCTTGTGACAGGCTCCCTGAGGACCACGACACCGAGAAGAATGACAGACTCTTCTTCTTCGGCAAGCATCACCGGTTCATGGTGGAGGATGTCTGGGGACACAACGTCGTCTGGCACCCGAGGATATTCCAACCTGCTGTGAAGAATGGAATGTGGGTCATAGCAATGAAGGAGGCCGATGGCAAGTGGAGTGGACTGAAGAGACAGGGAACGGGTGCATTTAAAAGAACGGCGAGACATGCTCTGGTGGAGCATTTGAGTCTTATGAACCCCGAGAGGAACGATCCGTACGTCGCTGCGTATGCAGTACAAAAGCTAAATGAGTTGTACGCCAACAACATGTTGGAGTTTCGACCGCCTTTCTACACACTCGAAACAGCACCGTCTCGTGGCATTGACTGGCGCATGCCGCAACCTCCGTCGGGCGGTCAGCATCTGGGAGGGGGTGGAGGAGGAGACGAAGGAGACGGCGGAGGTGGCGGAGGAGACGGCTCACAGTTTGTCGGAAAGGGGACGGGCGAGACATCGTCGGTAGAGAAGGCGTCTGACGGAAAGGGGTCAGGCGGAAACGACTCGGGCGGAAAGGGGTCGGGCGGGAAGCGGTCGGGCGGGAAGGGGTGGGGCTAAAAGGGGTCGGGCAGGAAGGGGTCAGGCGGAAAGCGTAGAACGTCCGGGAGTCCCAAGTATATGGAAACTGACCCCCACTGCGTAGGGAGTCGAGATTCCGACATGCGAGACGAGGTCACCCTGAGGTCTGATCAAGTGCCAGTAGATTCGCACTTGTCTGCGAGGACTTTGTTTCCCGTTGCCGACGAGAGTCCATCCCGCCGTGCGCAGTAGAGGTCTCCTGTGCTCAACACCTTGCTCCTGAAAGAGGGCGCGTCTTCGTTTTGCCTGGAGGGCGGGATGCCTGCATTGCGAAGGAGCGAAGGTGTGACCTTCGGTTCCCTCGTCTCGGGCGACCGCCACAAACTCCGAATACATTCGGATTTGCTGACGTCGCCCTCCGCCATAAGTGCTCCTCACGCAACAGTTCCGCGGGGCCAAGAAAATGTGATGTCCTGCCCCCCGCATCTTCTGTTGGACACAGGGTTACCCTGCTCGCCTCGTTCTCATGTGTTGAGACTCGAGACTGGCGGTCTCGCGACGTGCTGAAGGGGGCCGCTGCAGGAGTGTTGGAGACCGGGGGTGGCGAGTACGAACGTCGTACTCTTGGGGAAGAGGAGTGCTCTCCGGGAACGTGTGCTGTACATCGGGAAGAGGAGACTCAACGCTGGCAGTCTCGCAAAGTGTTGGAGACCGGGGGTAGCGAGTGTGAATGCCATGCTTCAGAGGGTGCATCCGTGGATACTAACAGCGAGAGTGCAAGAGCTCTAGGGGAAACGCATGCTCTACGGGGGGGAGAGGAGTCACGAAGGATGCCGGCTCGGGAAGACGTGAAGGGGCTCCACGCACGAGCGCTGGTGATTGGGATGTCCGAAGAGGTTCTGCACAGTCGGTCGGCTATGGCCACGACGCGAGAGGGTGTCCTTAAGGGAGGTCAGTGGACGTTCGTGCAAGCTCCCGTTCTTGGTGACGATGAAGACGAAAAAGAACCCGCGGTGGAAGCTCGGGTTCATGGCGATGAGAAAGGCGGAGAACCCGACTATCGGCATCCAGACGGATCCACAGCGGAAAAATGGTGATTCGTCGCCCACCCGTTGCGGTGAAGAACAGGGTGGTCAAGCGTCTGTCCTAAGCACCGCTCGGGGAGTGGTGCTTCATGAAGCCATAGAGTTGGATGATGACTCGGCTGCCACCGAGCTGGTTAGCGACTCAGGCGTGGCCGAGATGCAGAACGTCGAATCCTCCGTGGAAGGCGGTGAGGTGGCTGTCAGCATCAAGATGGATCGAGAGCGGAAATATCATGATTCTCCGTCCACCCGTTGCGGTGCTGAACAGGGTGATCGAGCATCTGTCCTCAGTACCGGTCGGGAAATGGTGCTTCATGAAGCCATCGACTTGCCAAGCGACTCAGCTGCCACCGAGTTGGTTAGCGACACAGCCGTGGCCGAGGTGCAGAACCTCGAATCGTCCGTGGACGTTGGCGCAGTGGCTCGACAGGAGGGCGAGTTCCCTCAAAAGGCTCCTGAGCACGGTAAGATTTGTGAATAGGAACACTCGCATACCTGTCACTAGCCAGCTCTGTGTTCGTCCAAATTGATGTCATGGGCTAATGTACCTTTTACCACTTGTTAAAAAAAAGTTTGTGGGCTGTGGGTTGTTTTCCATGTTCTACAGGTGTGAGGTTGTCAATGTCCCTGCCCATGAAGCCTGCAAAAGCCGTGAGCGAGAAGTGTCTTTCAGGGAGGTCATTGGCCGCTTTACCGAAGAAGTCGTCAAGTGTAGGGTTGTTTAAAAGGGTCCAGATGCCTCGCCTTTCCCAGAGAGCTGTCAGGGTTCTGAAGGCTTGTGGAATAGATAAGGAGGAAGGTTTGCGGAAACATTTGGCTGCGTCCATTTAAAGCGTTACTGCTTTGTCTGATGGGTCTGATGACGATGCCAAACGAGGTGTCTTGAAAGACCCGCGTCCTAAGTACATCGCCAAGGACACATTCAACAGTCGGGGATACAACTTTTCTGGGAAAAGGGCAGACGATTCATAGCCATTTCGCCCCGGTGATTTTGACCACTCATCACACTTGTTCGTGGGTGTTTGTGCAGTTGGGGCTACATCATATTTTCGCGTTCCATTACCTGCTGAGGAGCTTAGCGCTACGGACTTGAGAATGTTGCGAAACGTTTGTGGAGATTTCAGCAACGGCCACGAGGTGGTATCCTCGGTTCGCAAAGGGGTCAGTTTAATTCCGTTGAGCAGAAAAAGTCTTCAAACTCTTGTTCAAGGGGAATGGCTTTCCGACGAGGTGGTGGAGTCGTACTTGGCCTTGCTTGCCAATGCTGCGTTGTCTGGGTGTCCCTCTCTTTACATTTTCAGTCCCTTTTTCTATACCAAGCTCGTCCGTGGCGGCTATCGACATGATAGGGTTGCGAGATGGACAAAAGATGTGGATATCGTACGAGATGATCTTGATTCCTGTCCATAAACATGGAGTGCATTGGACCCTATTGTATCTCCGAGAACAACGGCTGGAGTATTACGACTCCCTCGTACAAGACGATGACGGTTTTTCTTCCGATGTGATTGCGAACTTCACGCAATACCTCCGTGACAAAGCAGTTTGTCATTATGGTAAAAAAACGAAAGTGGATCTCCAGGAGCCCAAGGTGGTTGTTCGTGGTGTCCCTCAACAATTGGACGGGTCGAGCTGCGGTGTTTTCATGCCCACCTTTGCTTCATTTTTTGCACGCGCCTGTCCGTCACCATTTCCGATAGCCCAAAGCGACATTCCAAACATCCGGTTGAGGATTGCGGTGGACATACTCCAAGGCGCTAAATGATACCACTGTTGTTAAAATACACGTAGTTTTTTTTTCGAAATGTCCTAAGCAAAAGTGCGAATTTATTCTCACTTGATCTACCAGTCGGCCGGTTCGAGCTGTGCTGTTGTTTTGATGAGGTACCAGATTGCAGTGGACGTTCTGGTCAAGTAAACGCTTAGGTGTCGATGTGAATATCCCAGCCTCGTGCTGTAGCAATTTTTTAAGGGTTCTTCATTTCGCGGAACCTGTCATCTTTGCTCGTACGCCTTTCGGCAACGCCGTGCTGCCTTTGTTTGTTTTCGGGTTCTTCTCATTGCTTGCCGCGCAACATCAACTAGAGGGTTGTAGCGGACGCTTACGTGAAGTACAATCTTAGATGCCGATGTAAATATCCCAGCCACGTGGTGCAGTATCTTTTAAGTAGACGCTTAGATATGGGATGTGAATATCCCGCCTTTCAGACCGCGGCAGCACCGTGCTGCGTTTGTTCGTTTCGAGGTTGTGCTGCTCTGTTACTCATGGGACGTCTTCGGCCTCTTGTAAACATTTTGCACTCATGCTCTTAATGAAAGATATCGACGATTTATTATTGGTCGCCAAATTGTTTCCTGCTTATCTCTTTCATTCGCGAGACTTTGTGGTGTGAAAGCCCCTCTCCCCCGCCCCACCCCGACCACCCAGCTTTCATATGCTTTGGTTCGCCCTTGTTCTGCGTGTGCCGCCCCGTTTTACGGTTCACCCCCTCTGCTTGTCTCCACTGAATGTTGTCTGTTGGTTTCTTATGATAGTTGCGAACTTGTTCTCCATTCAGAAACCAATTGTCGCCAGAATGTATGTGTGCTTGAAATTGTTTTACGGATTCAGCGGTGCACTAAATCATTACCAATTTTGTTGTCCCTGGAATACATCTCGTGCTCTCCACGGAATGCTGGTGGTTGTTTTCGTATGAGAAATGCGAACATATTCGTACTTTGGATGCTGTACATTTGTGATTGAACTGTTGGTTCCATATGAGAAATGCGAACATATTCGCACTTTGGGTCCATGTACTTTGTGATTTTTGGAAAGCCTCCGTGCACTTTGCAATGTGGGATTGTATGATATTTTGCGTTCAATGATTTTTTGAAACGTCTCTGTGTGCTTTGCAATTTGCCATTGAATGAATTTTTTGCATTGAATGGTTTCTGGAAACTGTTAGTGTGTTGTGAGACTTCACCTTTGAAAAAACACTAGGCAACTTGAGATGTTTTCACCTCGATGTTTGCGATGTCTCTGTGTGCTTTGCAATTTGACTTGAGATGTTTTCATCTCGATGTTTGCGATGACAAGAGATACTTGTATGAATGGATATGAATCTTCTACACAGAAAGATTTGATGGCGTTTTCAACCTGGAATATACAAATGACGAGCCAATGTCCATATTAAATCGTCGCGCTGATGGATTGCACAACTGCTTCTCCATCAAAGAGCGAGTTCAATCGCACTTCTGGTGTGAGCCCTGAGCAATTCCCTCGCACTTTGCTTCACGTTGAAGAGGGGATCGAACGCACCGCCGGTAAGCACCTGCACATCACAAAACAAGAGCACGTCCCAATTGGAACATCGTCGGGTTTTTGCGATGTCGACTCCCACATGATGACTACACTGAACAGCGGTAGGATGACCGCTCTGCCTCTCCGATGTGGATCTAACGGTGGATTACGTCAAATCTGCTCTCATAGATCCGCGTCAGGGATGGGGGACGGGATCCGACCACAGTTTGCTTGTAAGGCATCATATGATGTGTCGATATAACCGACATCCAGAACTGCTTGGTGAGCATCTAGTGCTACGCCAATAAGTTCCAAGCACGACAGCAAAGTCCCCTAAGAGTGTTCTTTGCCGGGTCCTCACCTCATCGACTCTCAAGAGGACTACAACCAACAGCGGTAGGATGGCAGGTCCGCCTATCCGATGTGGATCTCACGATGGAGTGCGAAACTCTGTCCTCAAATATTCACACCGAGTAGAAGGTCCTGCAAGCAGCAACTGCTTGCTTGTAAGGCATCTTATGATGTGTCGATATGACCGACATCCAGAACTGCTTAGTGAGCATCTAGTGCTACGCCAATATGTTCCAAACACGGTAGCAAAGTCCCCTAACAATGTTCTTTGCCGGGTCCTCACCTCGTCGACTCCCTCAAGATGACTACAGCTGACAGCGGTAGGATGGCAAGTCCACCTATCCGATGTGGATCTCACGGTGGAGTGCGAAACTCTGCTCTCAAAGATCCACACCGGGTAGAAGGTCCTGCAAGCAGCCGTTGCTCGCTTGTAAGGCATCTTATAATTTGTCGATATAACCGACATCCATAACTGCTTGGTGAACATCTAATGCTACGCCGAAAAGTTCCAAAAACACGGCAGCAAACTCCCCTAAGAGTTTTTTTTGCCGGGTCCTCACGTCATCGACTCCCTCAAGATGACTACAGCTAACAGCGGTAGGATGGCAAGTCCACCTATCCGATGTGGATCTCACGGTGGAGTGCGAAACTCTGCTCTCAAAGATCTATACCGGGTAGAAGGTCCTGCAAGCAGCCGCTGCTTGCTTGTAAGGCATCTTATGATGTGTCGATATAACCGATATCCAGAACTGCTTGATGAGCATCTAGTGCTACGCCAATATGTTATGAACACGACAGCAAGGTCCCCTAAGAATGCTTTTAGCACTGGAGTCCTCTGACCGCCGACTGTTTGGCACTTCGTGAAGGTTGACACTTCTTGAAGGTGGTCGGCCACTTCTTAAAGGTGGTCAGTCACCAAACAGATCACGACCTGACATCAACCTCGATAACTGCGAATTGACTCGTTGTTCAACTAGACTCTGTTTCTCTCTCTCTCTCTCTCTCTCTCTCTCTCTCTCTCTCTCTCTCTCTCTCTCTCTCTCTCTCTCTCT